TGGTAGTATTTACAGTGATAATGTGATAATTGATGCTGGTAGTTTTACAGTTCATGCTTGTAGTATTTACAGTAGGAATTGACGGATGCAGTTGTTGCTGTCGCGGTAGGTGGTAACACAGTAAATGACGGATGTAGTCGCAGTTGCTAGTTGTTAATGACGTTGCCGTAGTAATATTCCAGCACTTACGGCGGGGAGGAATTGACGAAGCGGTTTGGGTTGCACATGGTAGTATCCATGTTCATGAACGCAGTAGTGACGTGAGCGAGTTTGGTTTTACGCCGCTTTGAACGCAGTAGCAATATTCCAGCATTATCACGGCGGGGTCACACCAGAAATGGGCTTCACACATTGTATCATGTGGGGATTCGAACCCGGGTCTTTGACGAGACGAGCGAACGCTTTAACCACTAGACCACCCCGCCGCCCCAATGAAAGTAGTAATTATGATCACTGTGGTAGAAGCTACAGCAATAAAGGGCGCAGTTGTTGTCACGGCGGCAGTAGTTGAAGAAGTGGACGTAGTTGTTTACCTCGTGAATTCCTATCTTATGGAAAATGATTCAATCGCACCTTTGTTTTTCAACTTTGTGAAGGTCAGTTCAGGTCTACGTTTCTCACTAGAATGGGTGTGGTCCTGACAAACCAATCGGGACGGATTCGAAACCTACGGGTAGGAAGTAGGACAAGGACACCTATTTCAAGTAGAAGCGACAAAACCTTTTCCACATCCAACAGAAATCTCTAAAGGTGGAGTCGATTGTACAATTCCGACTATATCACGAACATGTGTTTGTGATTCACTATCAAACAGTGATGATGCCTGGGACCCGATCCACAAGGCGTTCGTTGGGCTACGACATTCGTAAGTCTATGGTAAACTTTGGAGTTACAAGTCCTAACGCTACGAATGCTTTGTGGATCGGAACCCAGGTGTTCGCGAAAAGGTGAGTTTATCCTTCCCCACCAGTGACACCCGTCATTAACATATGCAAAGTCAAGTCAGTTGTTGCCCCGAAAATAATTCGGGAATACACGATACAAGTGAAAATAAGGGAGGTCAGATATTATTTCTGACACTGATAAGTCAACATTTCCTTGGCATGTCTACCACAAAACAATTTGAATGCGTTACTTAGGATTTCAATGTTGTAACCTTGATCAAACACACGCGTAACATCGTTGTAATGAACAGATATTAAATACCCTGTTGCGTGGTGTGTTAAAGCATAAATGTACAAGCTATATATCATGCATATCACAGTGAATGAACAGATACATGTCATATATTTGTATCTCAGTTTATTTGGTCTTTAAAAAAACAAGCTCATAAATATTCTACTAAAACAATATATTAAATATACCCTCGTGATCAAATATATGTACATATATGTGATGTTTTGCATCCAGCCGCAGCCTGTGGCCATATTTGGTAATCTATTTTAATATACTCATATCACTTTTTGTGAATAATTGACAGATTGGTCAATATCTGATTGTAATGACGAGATAGGGATAGACATCGCTCTTTCATGTATCAAAGGTTTGGCTTGAAGTGACACATGAGATGATGAATGATGTAATAAAACTTCAATGAAGCCTTATGTCACTCTAATCAGTAAATCTGACATGAATAATCCCATGTAAACACGTAAATGTAAATCAAACGTCTGAAGGATAATAACGAAACATAATGCATATAGATCTTTCCCAAGGACACCTTTCCGAACTGTGTTTCGTCAAACCGTATTTTTTAACATTTATTCCAATATAAACATGGTAAATAGTCTACTGTAGTCTACAAGTGAAGCTACTCAGTTTAGTGTATATTTCTATTGAAAGTGTGAACGTCCCAATTGGTGCCTTGTGTGAATAATATACAATATGTCCTTGTCACAAACATATTCATGATATTGTGGGCATAATTTAATTAAAGCGCAATGCAACTCAGACCTCTCTTTGGCAACTAACATGCGTTGCTCAAATATTAAATGAAACGTCACTTTGGGAGGAAAGTTAGGTAACAAATTACATACTTTGCTAAAAGTTTGCTTTATCATTCCATATGATGTAAGACTAATGTTAACCGATCCCTCGATTCCAAATCAGGATGCCACAACCTAGTAATCTGTAACACAGTGAGGAGATAGAACTAAAACTATATCTTTGTTCTCGAAGGCCACAGAAGAGTTCGTCCAGGAACAAACATAACTTGTCACATTTGGCATATTTTTATGGCTCTGGCTGACACAACTGAAATCCTCTCCGTCTTCACGTCAAGGTATTCTCCAGAGGGACTTGTTTATGTTGGTGTCAACTCCAGGCTCTGTTGAAGACAACAATACTCAGATTCATCCATGTGATCCAAAAGGCCTGTTATCGGTTATATATTGCTCTTTATGTACTTATATGACAACCTGTATAGTCTTTATACATGTGCAAAGTCAAATGGGTAAGGCCTGAGAATAGGGTACGTGTTACAGAAAGAAGTTGTGACATCCACATTTGGTACCATATGGTTTGTTGTGAACCTTTTCATTTCAAGTATGTTCTTCAACAGATACATGACTTCATTCTTCTTCTATCTTCTCTATAAGTGTTGTTATTGTTAAATCAAATCGAACCAATGTGAGCAAATAACTATGGATTAGTCTATGTCTTACCTGTATGTGTTCCAGTAACGGAGTTTGCCACCTTGGTTGTCGCTATGCTTTCCACAGGCATCTGCTTGTACACTTGGGCCGGCATGTTGGTGCCAGTGATATCGAAATGTACAACTTCTGTGGAAGGTCGACTTCCAGGTGCTTGAACAACATCTTGATTGAGTCCGCTAACTGGAATAGCATCTTGAATGGTTGTTGCACTTACAGGAACTGTCTTATTGATTGTCATTCCTACTGTGTGAGGTTGTCTATCTAGATGAGAGTTGTCTTGAACAGATGACCCACTTGTGGGAGCAGCCCCTAGGCTAGTTCCTCCAGCTGTGTGAGGTTGTCTATCTAGATGAGAGTTGTCTTGAACAGATGACCCACTTGTGGGAGCAGCCCCTAGGCTAGTTCCTCCAGCTGTGTGAGGTTGTCTATCTAGATGAGAGTTGTCTTGAACAGATGACTCACTTCTGGGAGCAGTCCCTGGCTAGTTGCTCCAGCTGTGTGTGATTGTCTATTTAATGGAATGATGTCCAAAGAAGATGCCTCAATTACAGGAACCGCCCCTTGGCTGGATGTTCCAACTGTATACGATTGTCCATTAATTGGAACGTGAAAATTTGTTCCACTTACAGGAACAATCTCTTGACTAGTTATTCTAGCAGCCTCTTGGGTACTTGTTTGGCTAGTTGTTTTAGCAGCCCCTTGCGTTCTGGTTTGGCTAGCTGCCCAAGATTGTTCATTGAATGGAAGGATGTTGTGAACAGTGTTCCCACTGACAGGATCAGACGTTTGGCTGCCGGCTCCACTGACAGGAACTGTGTGTAGAATGACCGGTCCTACTGTGTTCGGAAAGGACGCTCCAGCCATTTGAGATGGTCCAGCATCTGGGGGTGTATTTGGGACATGTGTTCCACTGACAGGAACATTTGTTTGGCTAGGTTTTACAACAGTTGCAGCTTGTCCTGTTGCTGGAAGTGTATTTGGGACATACGTATCAATGATGGGACCATTCGTTTGGCTAGCTAGTTCAATAGCTGGAGCTTTTCCAGCATATGGAAGTGTACTTGGGACAATTGATTCACTGATTGGAACATTAATGTGACTAGGTTTTACAATAGCTTGATATGGTTCAGTGGCTGCAACGGTATCTTGAACAGATGTTCCACCTGGAAGTATAGGACCATGGCTAGCGTGTCCAGACAAAGGAATGGTGTCTTGCAAAACTGCAAAACTTGCAGGATGGTTGCCTGTTCCAGCCGGTTGAAGAACTTTAACTTCACCAGTTGTGCTACTTGGCGGTGCTACTGTATCACCACGGCTGGCCTGGGTAAAGGATGGCGCGCCGAGAGGTTCAGAAATATGAGGCAATTTATTCAGCTGAACATCAGAAGGGGCAGTATGTATCTCTGGATTTGTTTTTTCTTGTAGTGTACCTTGAGGAGCAGCTGCTTTTGGGAGTGGCGATGCTGAAAAGAATGGTGAAAATTGTTAGTGGTTCCTCTTAACTGTAATGCATGATGAAAAATGAGAACTTCATGCAAGGCATCTCTCAAAAGGAAAACCAACACTTACTACGTTTGGTTTTATGTAGAACAATAATATTAAGTGGTGCTTAACATATACGCCTACTTTATGATCATTGTCAACAGAATGTATATAGGAATAAAGATTTACCTGAGTGTTGAATATCAATAGTCGTTGTACTTTTTGTGTTGTAGGCAGAATGGACAGGGGCGTCGTATGCTGATGGCGGTGAATGGTGGCCAGTATTAGCGGATACTGGATGACTGAGGGGTGCTGTTTGAGACGTAGAATCAACCTTGACAGGGAATCGAAGAGCCTGCATCCTTTTGAACGCTGTTTCAAAGGCTACCGTAAGTAGCTGTGATTCCGACATTCCTGAGTTTTGAGTGGACATCGCTCTATCAATAGCCTGCATCAAAAATCCATCCAAAGCTGGATCTCCATGATTTAAATTTGATGTAGGCTGGGTTTTGTTTGCCTCAGCTGTGTGGGATGGATAGTTTGCATGGTGTTTAGCCCCGGATGATTCTGGCAATGGGGCCATAGCTGTTGATGTATTTATGAGGTTATGGGAAACTGATTCGTATAATTGTTGCTGTTGGGTCTTCGTTTGCCGTTGTGTATTGCTTGGAATAGTAGAAGGACCATGGTTCAAGTGTGCATCTACGTGTCCATATTGTATGTCTACTTTGTTTGAGGGGATAAATGTTGACGGTGTGACTCTGTCTGGGTATTGAACAGTTCCGTGTATCCCATTCACATGGGTTCCGACTGGGGTGTGTAAAATGTTTGACTGACTTGGGGAATTGTTTAATATTGCTGGTATTACTCTGTCGGTAGAGTACGCAGTTTCAGCTTTGCCATTCTCTTGGGTTTGTGTTGGGGAGTGTAAGATTTGAGACTGTCTTGGGGAATGGCTAAATGTCGATGGTGTGACTGTGTAAGGGTTGTGAGCAATTTCAACTATGCCATTCACATTTGGTGCGGGTGGGGAGTGTAAGATTTGAGACTGTCTTGGGGAATGGCTAAATGTCGATGGTGTGACTGTGTTAGCGTTGTGGGCAATTTCAACTATGCCATTCACATGAGGTGCGGGTGGGGAGTGTAAGATTTGAGACTGTCTTGGGGAATTGTTTAATGTCGATGGTGTGACTGTGTTACCGTTGTGGGCAATTTCAACTATGCCATTCACATGAGGTGCGGGTGAGGAGTGTAAGATTTGAGACTGTCTTGGGGAATTGTTTAATGTCGATGGTGTGACTGTGTTAGCATTGTGGGCAATTTCAACTATGCCATTCACATTTGGGTGCGGGTGTGGAGTGTAAGATTTGAGACTGTCTTGGGGAATTGTTTAATGTCGATGGTGTGACTGTGTTAGCGTTGTGGGCAATTTCAACTATGCCATTCACATTTGGTGCGGGTGGGGAGTGTAAGATTTGAGACTGTCTTGGGGAATTGTTTAATGTCGATGGTGTGACTGTGTTAGCGTTGTGGGCAATTTCAACTATGCCATTCACATTTGGTGCGGGTGTGGAGTGTAAGATTTGAGACTGTCTTGGGGAATGGCTAAATGTCGATGGCGTAACTGTGTTATGATAGTAAACAGATTTAGTTATGTCATTCACGTGGGTTTCTGTAGGGGCGTGGGCGATGTTTGATCGCACTTCAACAGGTACATATGCCACAGTTGTTGTAAGTTCTGGAATGGCAGTCGTTGCTTGGATTGGCATATCACTTACGGGATTGTTCTTCGATTTAATTTGAGATGCAGCCAGTTGTTTAGTTAAGAGATTCTTCAACTCGGGCGGAAGATTTAGGGAGGTGGACATAATGGCAGCACCAAGGTTAGACGTGCCCACTTGTTGTGCAAGAGCAGCTAAAGCAGCTTGTATTTGTGCGTTTCCAGCAGCTTTAATACTATCGACGCGCTGATAAGTAGGAACTGTTGTTGGTGGTGGTTTTGTAGTAGTAGTAGTTGTAGTTGTTGTGGTTGTCGGGGTCGTGGTAGTTGTAGTTGTAGTCGTGGTAGTTGTAGATGTAGTTGTGGTTGTTGTTGGAGTAGTAGTCGTAGTTGTTGTTGGCGTTGTCGTTGTAGTTGTCGTTGTAGTTGTTGTTGGTGTTGTGGTAGTTGTGGTTGTCGTTGTGGCCGTAGTAGGTGGTTGTTGATTCTCTTGCAGCAGTACAGCATTGATCATCGACATCAGTGTTTGCTCCAGTCCAACTCCTGAACTCAAGCTGTTCATCATCTCGGCCATTAAAGCGGCGTCTGACAAAACTTTCACTGTTGTAGGGACAGTCGTCGTCGTCGTCGTTGTTGTTGTTGTGGATGTAGTAGTCGGGGGTGTAGTTATAGGTGGCTCGTGTTGTATCCTGAGAGTGTCCAGTAGAGCTCTGAGTGTTCGTTCCAATGCGCTTCCAGGTGAAATGTTTGCTGAAAATAGTATTTGTACACCCGGGACATGAGCAGAGTAGGATCACATCGGTTCTCACATCATAGACACAAACACAACCATCAAGCTGCTCATTTGGTGAACACATTAACGTTACTACCATAACATAAGGAAAATCGATGTCATACTATTACCTCAAGGTAGGTTTTGTTTCCATGACAACACAATAATTTACTGACATTTGGCTGTTAATATCTTAGGAACGACAACAATTTATAAATATTTGTGCTTTAGAGTATCATTATCTGTGTGAGGATTATTTTGTATTGAATAGTAGCTAAAGTTTGAGAATTATATTAAAACCTTTGTTACTGAATAGACGCTAAAGTTTGAGAATTATAGTATTGTTTTCAAAATGGGAGAATTGTATTTCAGATATCTCCATGTTCATTTTCCCATAATTGCCTTCTTCTAGAAAATCAGGTGAGCAAATATGAACGGGTATAGGGGTTTTCACGTGAGTATGCTTTGGAATAATAAACATAGGCGGATCCTGAGGGGCGTGAAAATGAAGCGTGCGGCCTACCGGTCGTACATATCTATGCCCCAGCCGGTGCAGAGTGCATTAATTTACAGGTAACAAACCTCCCACCTCCTGAAATGTGTACATTGATAGACAGAGGTTTAGTCGGAAAGTGAAACCGTCAATACATTTCAAATGAAACTTGTTTTCACTTATCACATAATGGCGTAACGATTAATAGACAAAGACATACAAATACGTTTAGTTTTGTCACCTAAGTTCCGATTAATTCCGATTGAAATCTGTTCTTTCATTAACAGTGGTGCAGCCACATACACGCAAAATAGCATACGATTTCTCCTAGTGTTTCTCGGGGCGGTGGGATAGCCTAATGGTTAAAGCGTTGGCTCGTCACGCCGAAGACCCGGGTTCGAATCCCCACATGGGCACAATGTGTGAAGCCCATTTCTGGTGTCCCCCGCCGTCATGTTGCTGGAATATTGCTAAAAGCGGCGTAAAACCAAACTCAGTCAGTCAGTCAGTCCTAGTGTTTCTCACAATCGGTCCGTCTACTCGCTAGAGTAACTGCCCTTTATTAAAGGGAAGCTACTCTAGTCAATGACATGTCACGTCTCATTAGAGTAAGCGTTACCTGTCATACCTTTACGGAATGCCATCAAATTCAACACTGGCGAAAAAAGTAAACGAGGTACATTTTGGCGAAATCCAACGGTTAAAATGGGTAACAGACCCAAAGCTGCAGATATCTAAAGGCATGAAAACTAGTGCCCTCGCTTCATTCTTGCGCAATGTTTGTCTCAACTAGGTCCCAGTAATACACCTATTTCACCAGATCACCAATGATTCATTTTGACTGGGTCGCAAGCGTTGCGCCTTGTTTGTTTGTAAACACTGGAAACTCTGGTACATTATTGACACTTTTCCCTTGGCTTATATACTGCAAAGTCATCTACCTGTTGTGTAATGAATAGTGAATACTGGCTCGTGTATTACCGGATAGTCTGTTCGAAGCAGCAGATGGACCTGGATTTGTCTGGGAAGCATCCATTGGATGGGTTTCAGGTGCTTGTGCGCTCTGTGGCGAAGGTGCATTTGCAATCACCGGAGGTGCCAAAGTGGTCGGTGGAGGTGTCGTTGGTGGAGGAGGAAGTGTTGAAGGGGCCGGAGTGGTAGGTGGATCTGAAATTCCAGTATGTATTTTGATGAGTAAAACTACACATATATCAAATACACGTTTAACTCGAATTACCATAAGTATTTCACCAGTACAAACACTTGAATATCCTTGTTTTCATTTGGATCCATACGTCTACAGGTGCTTTAGTTCCTTGACACGTGTCAACAAACACGGAAATGTGACATCATTGAACGTGGGATTCTGTTAAAGTTACCTGTAGAGTCCGGCATTTCATAGGGAGTATCTATTCCCAGCTGATCCATTCTGTGAAGCCATGCCACAAATGCGGGCGAGCCTATTGGCGGAGGGTTGTATGGATCTAAAAATGACATTTAAGCAAATTACTTCGACATATTACACGAGGTATTTGTGATTCTATCGACTTTATGTACATAATTGAATTTACCTGTTAAAAGCATAACAATATTTTAGCATATTCGCGTTTTAGGCATTGCATTAAGTGATGTAATGTAATTGAACATGAGGCTGATTTATTTGACTTACCGTTCATTCTGTTGCCGCCCATTCCCCCACCCATACCATTCATTCCTCCGCCCATACCATTCATTCCTCCACCCATACCATTCATTCCTCCGCCCATACCATTCATTCCTCCGCCCATACCATTCATTCCTCCGCCCATACCATTCATTCCTCCGCCCATACCATTCATTCCCGCTCCCATTCCATTCATACGCCCACCCATTCCACCCATTGCGCCTCCCATCACATTCATATTACCCATTCCACCCATACGTTCTCCCATTCCACCCATATTACCCATTGGACTTCCCATTCCACCACCCATATTACCCATTCCTCCCATTGGACCTCCCATTCCATTCATACGACCCATTTGGCCTGGACCCCCCATTCCATTCATACTACCCATTTGACCTGGACCCCCATTCCATTCATACCACTCATTTGGCCTGGACCCCCCATTCCATTCATTCCACCACGGTTACCTCCCATAGCATTCATGCCACCTGGGGGACCTCCCATAGCATTCATACCACTTGGGGGACCTCCCATTGGCGCGCTCATCATACCTTGTCCTCCATTCATGACGCCAATTCCACCACCACCCATAGGACCTCCCATTCCATTCATGCCACCCATTGGGCCTCTCACTGCCCCACCTCCACCATTCATGCCACCCATTGGGCTTCTCAATGCCCCACCTCCACCATTCATGACTCCATTAGGACCGCCTCCATTGCCGCCCATTCCATTAACGACACCATTGCTTGGAAGTTGTTGAGCCACATTTCCTTGATATTGTGTATTTGAAACAACGTTCCCTTGTTGCTGGTTCATTGTTTGTTGATTGGGTGGATAGCCTGTTCCTCCAACGTTACTTGGAGGATGTGCAGCCACCTGTCCGCGATTACCAGCTTGATTCTGGGCAGTGGAAACACTGAGCACCTGTGGTCCATTTGAGAAAGTGCCCGCACTGCTTGATGCATGGTAGTTTGCAGTGTTCGACTGACTTTGAGTGTTACTGTGTGTGTAACCATAATAGGCGAGAGTCCTGTTCTGTGTTGGTTGTGATAGTTGTTGCACTTGCTGTTGCATTGGATTAGAAACGTATGCAGTCTGTTGTATCTGCTGTTGTGCTCCTTGTACCGGCATGGGATTGGAAGGAGCCATCGGCTGTTGTATCTGCTGTTGTGCTACTTGTACGGGCATTGGATTGGAAGAAGACATCGGCTGTTGTATCTGCTGTTGCCCCTGTTGCATTGGATTGGAAGGAGCCATCGGCTGTTGTATCTGCTGTTGTCCCTGTTGCATTGGATTGGAAGGTGCCATCGGCTGTTGTATCTGCTGTTGCCCCTGTTGCATTGGATTGGAAGGAGCCATCGGCTGTTCTATCTGTTGTTGTCCCTGTTGCATTGGATTGGAAGGAGACATCGGGTGTTGTATCTGCTGTTGTCCCTGTTTCATTGGATTGGAAGGAGCCTTCGGCTGTTGTATCTGCTGTTGTCCCTGATGCATTGGCTTGGAATGGCCCATCAGTTGTTGTGCATGCTGTTGTCCCTGTTGCATTGAACTAGACGGATATGCAGACTGTTGTATCTGTTGTTGTTCTCTCTGTGGCGGCATTCGCTTGGAAGGAGCCATTTGTTGTTGTACCTGTTGTACCTGTTGCATTGGATTGGAAGGAGCCATCTGTTGTTGCACCTGTTGCATTGGATTGGAAGGAGCCATCTGTTGTTGCACCTGTTGCATTGGATTGGAAGGAGCCATCTGTTGTTGCACCTGTTGCATTGGATTGGAAGGAGCTATCTGTTGTTGCACCTGTTGCATTGGATTGGAAGGAGCCATCTGTTGTTGCACCTGTTGCATTGGATTGAAAGGAGCCTTCTGTTGTTGCCTTTGCTGTTGTCCTTGTTGCATGGAAATTGAAGGTTGTGCAGACTGTTGCCTTTGCTGTTGTCCGGCTTGTTGCATTGGATTGGAAGGAGCTATCTGTCGTTGTACCTGTTGTACCTGTTGCATTGGATTGGAAGGAGCCATCTGTTGTTGCACCTGGTGTTGTCCTTGTTGCATCGAAATTGAAGGTTGTGCAGACTGTTGCCTTTGCTGTTGTCCGGCTTGTTGCATTGGATTGGAAGAAGCCATCTGTTGTTGCAGCTGCTGTTGTCCTTGTTGCATCGAAATTGAAGGTTGTGCAGACTGTTGCCTTTGCTGTTGTCCGGCTTGTTGCATTGGATTGGAAGGAGCCATCTGTTGTTGTACCTGTTGTACCTGTTGCATTGGATTGGAAGGAGCCATCTGTTGTTGCACCTGTTGCATTGGATTGGAAGGAGCCATCTGTTGTTGCACCTGGTGTTGTCCTTGTTGCATCGAAATTGAAGGTTGTGCAGACTGTTGCCTTTGCTGTTGTCCGGCTTGTTGCATTGGATTGGAAGGAGCCATCTGTTGTTGCACCTGTTGCATTGGATTGGAAGGAGCCATCTGTTGTTGCACCTGGTGTTGTCCTTGTTGCATCGAAATTGAAGGTTGTGCAGACTGTTGCCTTTGCTGTTGTCCGGCCTGTTGCATTGGATTGGAAGGAGCCATCTGTTGTTGCACCTGGTGTTGTCCTTGTTGCATCGAAATAGAAGGATCTACAGACTGTTGCCTTTGATGTTGTCTTCGTTGTGGCAGTTGATTAGAAGGATCCATTGGCTGTTGTACATGCTGTTGTTTTTCTTGCTGTACTGGATTAAAAGACGAAACAGACTGCTGATAAGAATATTTGGTTCCACTTGGATGACCTTGTACATTGGTATGGGCAACAGTTCCTGTACCTGATGTTCCCGGGTGAGAAGGATGTGAATTATAATTAGATGGATTGGCTTTCTGTTCTTGTTGATTTGGAACTGCAGAGGTCCCGTGGTTGCTGTCTGAGACGATTAATGGTGCATCGACGAATGCTGACTTTAGTGCTGTATTTTCTTGGTTGAAAACAGTGCCATGTGTTGTGTATCGATCAGGTCTCGTACCAGTTCTTGTACCAAGTGGACCAGCTGAATTTACCATATCATACTGTGGTCCTGACGGTTGTGATGACTTGATTTGAAACGAATTGCCATTGTGTGTAGAATAGAATGAAGAAGACGGAAATTGTTGGATTTGAGACTGGATGTTAATATTAGCAGGTGACAATATCGGCAGTCTGGTAGACACCACTGATCCGGAAGCTGTATGCATCTGATCTGTCCGCCGTTCTGCAGCAGCTACGTTTCCTGGAATTGCAGACGCATTGTCAACTGTTGTAATTATTTCCGGATCTGATACGGTTGTTATGGACGATTGTGTTTTTGTTGTGGGTTTGTTTATTCGTTCATATCCAGTCTTGCCGTTTGTGCTTGGATGTACTTTAAAAATGTCTCCTTGGTTTGGAAGCCCATTGCCAACGCTAATAAAAGCTACTGTTGATCCTTTCTTGCTACCATCGGTTGCATTTCTTACACCGACGTGATAATATGCTTCGGAGACTGGTAACACATCTTCTCTGCTTTTTCCGGACCCTTGTAAAGGCGGTGTTTGCAAGGCTGGAAATGGTGACAGAAGATGTTTTGATTCTCCAGGTCCGTGTAACTGAGATTTGTTAGACTTCAAAGGTTCTTGAAGTTGTTTCATGTCTGTAGATTTAGATGAATATGTAACGGGCATAGCCGGCATACCTCCTCGTATTATTATTCTTTTGTGATTTAACCTTGGTGTGCTAGGGACTTCCATTTCATGCGTTCGTACTTGTTGTTGTTGCTGCTGGCGTGAACTTTGTTGTTGTTGCTGCTGTTGTTGATGATGTGGTAGTTGTTGTTGCTCTTTCTTCTGATGTTGTGACTGATCAGGGCGTGTCGTTGACAACCGCTGTTGACGAAGAGTCGTACGTTGTTGTTGCCGCTGCTGTTGATATCGTAGTTGTTGTGCTCGGTCCTTCATCTGAGCCTGTGAGAGGCTGGGTGCCTGATCGGAACGCCCTGACCCTCTTTGTTGCTGATGGAGAGCTAAACGTTGTTGCTGTAACTGCTGTAGTTGTTGCATCTGTTGCAGTTCTTGTTCACGTTGTTTCATCTGCATTTGAGATAGATTGGTTGCTTGATCCTGACGCCTTGGTGATAGGTGTTGCTGATGAAGAGGTGAACGGTCTTGCTGCTGGCTATTGCTATCGGGCAGATTCGCCGCCATCTGTGGATGCCTTGTCGTCATAGAGCGTAGACGTTGCTGCTTGTCGACAAATGAACCCTTTCCTAGTGATGGCATCGTTGTCCTCTTTGGTGCCAACCCATTTATATCTCTGTTCAAATTATTTCTTTGGACCTGGTTATTTTGACCCATGTTTGACTGCTGATTCCCACCGTTGCTAACATCGATTGCTGACGGGATCGTCCTCAATCCATTATAATTTATCTGGCGATTCCCTCCAGATCGTGAGTGGCCTGTACCTCGTGTGCTGGATGGCATGGCACCTCTGCCCACTATTGCTGGCACTAGATCCATGTTATTACTGTACTGGCCTGTCCCTCCCGGCTTCCACCCCGTTGACTGATATCGTCCTTGCGAAGCGCTTATACTTGTATCTGCATTGTCCCTCGCATTCAGTTGTCTACTTGCCCTCTGTGGCATAGTCTGCCCATTTCGTACAGAGTTCTGTTGTTGGTTTTGGTTCCGGTTGTACCCTGGAATAAAAAAAACAATAGGTCAGGCAGTGACATTGAGTTGAAGCGTTTCACTTTGCTCACATTGTGGTATTAGGTTCTGTTGCATATCGAAAGGGTATATATAAATTCAGTAACTATGAATATCAGGAAGGATAACAATATATGGATGAACAACTTTATTGCTGTGAGAGCGACGTTTCGGTGAAGGTTCTAACACCGTTATCAAGCAAGTGATGAACAGCATAAGGATAAGGATATTGTTATCCTTCCTTACTGCTCCAACTTCTAAATGCTTCTCAAAGAAGTTAACTATGTATATCAGCGAATGAACAAATAATGTTACATCAGGGTAATTATTTGAAATGATATATTCATGTTACAGATCTACATAGCTTTGGTGAACGATGGGAAGATCACACAGAGCTGAATTCACGAACAGGATACCTTAATGGAAGCATAATGCAACGCTAAGCAATGTTACAATTCTATAAACGTTGCCAGTGAGCAAGCGAACATTTGCTACTCGTGTGTTTGTGTATTTTGACGACAACAAACAATTAAGTTGTTCCCTGAAATGTTAAAAAAAGATAGTTGGCCGTGTGAATCAATAAAAAGTGAAGGTCATATCCCGGAGTCCCAAATACTCTTGTGGCATGCAATAACCAGAATTCTGTCTGAGAATCCCCATGACAGTGAAAGAGGAATCCTTGATCTCGTAGTACGAAAACTGTGAACTTACGGAAGCCAGTTATCTGTGCAGAAGCTTCGTTGTGGCTTAGAAACAGAACCAGAACAATGATTGCCGACACTGCCATTATGATATCTGAAATTGGAAATGGTTACATAATCAAAAGTTAGAAAGTTATACTAACTGCGACTTGAGTCTATTTGAGGGAGCATGCAATTCAAGATGGGTAATAAACACAGAACAGTAACATATTAACTCACCTGTGACCGGGTGTAAAAACCTTGGAGTCAACTTTGCGTGCAGACTCTCTCAGTGTTGTCACAACCCCTAGTGTACAGTACACAACCCTGTGCACTTAAAAGAACCCACGAATCCGTTGGTATATGACCAGATGGTGGCCACATGAATACATGCAAACACCTAGTTGCTGGTACAGCAACGTGCAGAAAACTTGGACAAAGTACTGTGACTATGTGTCCCAGTCCACCCAACTGTGAATGGGTACCTCGTTAGGATGAGAAAAGCCACAATAACTCGGTGCACCTAGTGGCAGCAAGACTTGTATACTCCCCAGGGAGTTGAGATTAATAATACGATGTGCCGTTGAGATTGACATCCAATGATCGAGGGAAAAGTACCAGCGCCTTGAGCATGCACTAGTGCGTGGATATGTGCACTATATAACAATTCCACAATTGAAATAAAGCCGTACGGTTCACTGGCTAATAATAGTAATTCTGCGTAAAACAGGGCATCGGGTGAGTCTATATTATTCAAAATGAACTAAATGATTTTTGCAATAGTGCTATAGTGCTATGTCCTTGACACAGTGGGTAGACGTCAGGGTCTACTGACCTTTGCGTTGAGACAATATCTTCAATTTATTTCAAAATTGGTTATCTCTACTGGTAATTTCAGGTCATACCAGCGATCCTCCCATGGCCATCAAGAACAAAGGATAATTAGAGAATGATGCTTATGTTAAAGGCAAATGTGTTCGGTTAAAACAAAGATTATTTTCATTTAGGAGATGTGCTCTCATATGTTTGGTGCCATTGAGTATTCAATTCCTTAAAAGTTTCGGCGAAAACTCATAAATATGGTACCTATCCAGTCCCAATTAACATCGCTCATTTACCATCAGACAGCAGTCAATGTATATACATTTCACGAAGCATTTTGTGCACTCATTTATAGGATGATCTGGCTTGATAAAAAAACATAATTTAAAATAACTTTCAATGAATGACGTGGATTTTTTCAAAACTATGTACACATATTTGACGTAACGTCACGTATCGTTGGACATGGCCTCTTGACATAATCCTCCGTCTGACCTGATTGAAAATGAAGATGTTTCATCTTTGTATGTAGAATGAACATAACATATGGGTAAAGCAGTGCGTTCAACACAAATGTATATCATCCGTTGACAAATATACATGTGTTGTAATTATACGCTTGTACACATGAGATTAAGTCCAATCAAGATCATAGATTACCTTTTACTTAACAACAACAATGTGAATGTGAACACCAAAAATCATTTGATAATAAAAATCTCAGATGGTCTATGTAGGCCTATTTCAACACAAATAATTAATAAATAAACACGGGTACATACATAGTGACCGTTTAGCAAGAGTCCTCGCATCTAGCTCCATATCTCAAACTTCCAACATGTAGCAATCCAAATGTCTTACATGTTGTATCCGTTGCCAAACTGTCCGGCTTCTTTTCCTTCACATGGGGAGTTTTTAGCAGCAATAAGATTGTTCGTTTTGTCCAATAAATCACGCGTGACAGATTGTAATTAAACGGAGACTAGCCATCAATCATACAAAGCAGGAAAGGCAAAGTAACATGGTGAAATCGTGTATACAACTTTTTTTGTATTGGGAAACTTATTATTCACTGTTTTATTTTGAATTGTGTTTCAGCAGATCATGCCGGTCAGGTTCAGGACAAAATACCTGAACATGGTGATATAAGTGATAGAGGTGATTGTCAAGAAAACAATCATCAATATTGTCTTCAGTTTGAACTATTCTTTAGTAGTGTAAACACATATTTGTTTAAATGAAACATTAACGTTGTCAGGTTTCAGTGTTTAAACCCGTTAGCCATTGCTTACAAATTGTCATGCCCTTTAAACTCGTGAACTACTGCTACAAATTGTCACACTTGTTAAACTCGTTAGCCATTGCTTACAAATTGTCAAGCCCTTTAAACCCGTTAGCCATTGCTTACAAATT